GTGCGAAGAAGTACTTCACCCATCTCCTCTCGGTCAAGTAGCAACATGACGAGTCACTCCGGTCTTTCATAGATCGGTGGACGAAGAAGACCGAGGAAGTTGAGGGGGCCGATGAGCGCACCCTCCTCGTCCTCTATCAGGGAGCTCTCCGCAGCACTCCCTATGCAAGAAGCCTCATCACCGACCCTCCGAGGTCATACGCAAAGGTGCTTCAGCGCGGGAGTTTGTACGCTGGCGCCGACGAGCTCCACAGCCACAAGAAGGACAGAGGCCACCCCTCCAAGAAGAAAAATCATTCGCCGGCCCCGGGAACATCCCCGGCCGGCCAGGGTGCCCAGGGTCATCACGGCTCTGGGGGACAAAGCAAGAAAGACCGCCATTGGCGGCCGAGGCTGGAACGGACGGGGATCCCCCTCACGCACTCGGTCAGCACCATCCTCGACTATGCCGAGAAGCATGACATCATTGAACAAGCTCCTCGAACGATGGAGGAAGTCCATGCCATTCAACAAGGTGGCACCTACTGCCGTTTCCACAAGAACACTTCCCACAACACCGACAACTGCATCACGCTGAAGAAAGCCATCGAGTGCCTGATTCGGCAGGGGGAACTCTCCCAATTTGTTAAAGGTGGCCCGTGCAAAAATACATGGGTAAACACTAGCAAATCTGGGGGCGAACCCTCTACGAAGAAACGAGAGATCGGTAGGCTCCACGACGATGAGGAAGACTTTGAGGAGCCCCCACCAAAGAAGAATCACATTCACATCATCGTAGGTGGAAACACTGGGGGGACTCCGTCACCCAGAGGAAGAAGTGGGCCCAATCCCTCTACATTGGAGAGGTATCCCACGTTCCCCCCCAACCGAAGAAGCAACGGACGGAGGTGATCACCTTCATCGATAAGGACCTACCTCCGGGTACTGAATCACATAGGGACGCCCTCGTCGTCCGGTGTGAGATTGGTAACTCGATCATCCACCACACTTACATTGATACGGGAAGCTCCGTCAATGTGATGTACATGGACACTTTCAAGCAGCTAAAACTGAACAAGGCTTTGCTCAAGCCGATCAAGACACTGTTGTCCGGCTTCACCGGGGACTCTATCGACGTCGAGGGCACGATAGTCCTTCCCGTGGAGGTCGGCGACGGCTCCCACCGCGCGAAGATTGACATGGAGTTTATGGTGGTCAACCTTCAGTGCGCCCACAATCTGATCCGGGGGCGGCCAGCACTGGAGGACCTAGAGGCCATCATCTCCATGAAACACTTATGCTTGAAGTTCCTGACCAGCGGCGACATCGGCTACGCCAGAGGCAACCGGAGGATAGTCAGAGCATGTTACCTCAAGCTAACGAAGCCGGCCAAAAGAGAAGGACAAAGAATAGACATAATCACTGCGACCGTCGCCAAGGACGAGGAGAGGCCACACGCCGAACCAGCCGAAGAGGTCGAGGAGGCCCCCCTAGATGCCCCCCGGCCGGAGCGGGTCCTGAGAATCGGGAAGCAACTCCCACAGGACCAATGTGATGGCATCCTCCTAGTCCTAAGGTCGTATGCCATCATCTTCGCATGGGGTCCGGACGACATGCCAGGCATCAGCCGAAAGGTGATCACTCACCGGCTATCAGTCAATCCGACCTCCACGCCTATCAAGCAGAAGCGGCGCTACTTATCAGCCGACAGACGAGACTTCGTCAAAGGAGAGGTCACCATGCTTCTCTCAATCAATCACATCAAGGAGGTGAAGTACCCGACATGGCTAGCCAACGTCGTCCTCGCCCAGAAGCCGCCAACATTCAGAATGTGTGGATCAGACTGATCTGAACAAGGCGTGCCCCATGGACCCGTTCCCTCTCCCCAATATTGATCAGTTGGTGGACGAGATGGTGGGATGCGAGTTGATGTCATTCCTTGACGCCTTCAGAGGGTACCACCAGATATTCATGCATGAAGATGACGCCGAGAAGACAACCTTTATGACCCCAGAGGGAATTTTCTGCTACCTCGTCATGGCCTTTGGGCTCAAAAACTCAGGCGCCACCTACACCAGGATGGTAGCCAGAATCTTCAGGGCGGTCCTCGGCCGGATGATGGAGGCATACGTCGATGACATGATCATCAAGAGCAAGCGGTCCGCCACACACGCTGACGACCTCCGGGAAATTTTTGAAATCATGAAGGAATTCGATCTCCGCCTGAACCGCAAGAAGTGCGCCTTCGGCGTCCAAAGCGGTAAGTTCCTTGGCTACATGGTCAGCCGAAGGGGCATTGTGATAAATCCTGAAATGTAACACCCCGATTTTTTTTTTGAGCTAGTTATATTAATCAATATTTTATTTTAGTCAATTAAATAAGTTTCTTCTATGACTAATGTGATTGTATTATTATGTTTTGTTGTGGCAGGTAACGTTGACTGGTAAGCTCATACAAATTTTAATTGAAAAGATAAAATACTATTTTGATATTTATTTATAATATAGTTGGATCAGGTTCTTTTAGTTAGGCCAGAAACATTTTTTTAATTAGAAGACTAAGAGGTCCAAATCAGTCATTTTAGCCCGAATCATTATACAACTCAAAGCCCTAGAAAGTTACATAAATGTCAATTGCCACAGCTACATTTGGTTCGTTCCTTCCGGAAGCAGCCGATTCTCTTCTTTCTCTTCCTCTACGAAGACCTGGTATGTCAAAATGTGTTCCATAACATGCTTTCTTTATGCCTTTCGAGAGTATGGGATTTAAATTAGTTGGCTGCATTCTAGTGATGGGCATGACATAATTTCATTGGCTAAGTGTTGTTTTAATAATTTAAACTAATTTGGTTTGACACGAAGTACATGCCGACATTGATTTGGAATATTTTGGTTTTCTTCTAGAGATTGCTTCTACCCCAGTTTTGCAGTACAAATTAAAGATGATTTTTTTGAGGCTTAAATCTTTTATTTAGCAGCATCTTTCGTGTTGTTGGGCGGCATATTACTATTTTTTTTCTAAATCTGTGCAGTTGAGGTTCTTAAAGTTATAATTCTCTCTGAGTTTTCTAGGAAGAACTTCAAAATAGGATGTGCAGTTTAAACGCCCGTAGTATAGCTCAGTTGTAGCCTTGATTTAGTCAAATTTGATTTGATTCTTTTGGTTTCAAACTAATTTTATGAGAAGTTTCACATATAGTTAAGAGTTTATAGGTTCTCCTATAAATTGATTTTATTCCCAATATTTCGTTCTGTCAACTGGATTCGTTTTTCAAATAGTTTTCCCACTGTGGTACAACAGCCCATAATTTGACTTTAAATCTCTCCTCGTTTTTCTAAAAGCAAGTTAAATAAGTATTTCTTTTCACCTCCACCTAAATCTGGCTAGATTAAAAGCACTTTATCTAAAGGTTTCTTCAAACTAACTTATCATGCACATATGATCAAATTAGTATTTCCTTTCGTGAGGTTAGTTCAGTTGAGTTGGTGCAATAATGGACTAATGTTTGGTTTTGTAAAATCTATTATAATTATTAGTAGGTGTACGCCACTCATTTGTTTAGTTAACACAGATATATCAAAACAGTACTTTGGTTCATTAAGATTAAAGATTTCTAATATTTGACTATTCTAAATAAAGATTTAAGTGAAGAGCTTACCGAAAGACGTTACCGAGGTGCCACACTTATTTGAGTAATTTGAGTTCAGCTGTTAACAGGTAAGTTCACTACCACCTGTACATGTTTGTCAACCAAATGAAAGAAAGAAGTCTGGTTGATTTTAGTAGATGATTTTAGACTATTTGCTATTATGTGAGCTTGGTGAATTATTTGTTGAGTTATTGCAATTGTTGTATTAAGTTATGTTTATTATCTGGCATAGTCAAGATTATGTCAGTACCTTATTTCAAGATTTTAATGATGTTTTTACCCAAATGTCACTATAAAAAAAAGAACTAATATTTAAAGTGAAAGATCAGGTGATATGTGCTCGGGAACAAGTTCCCTCAGATTATCAGTTTATCAGTTTCAGAGAGTCCGATATGTTTAGTGGGTCGCTCCCCTGAGCTGTCGGATTGGCGCCTTTGAGTACATATCACGGGCCCACAGTTAAAATTAGCCACAAAGAGTTTTACAGAAAGTTATGAGATCCCTTTCAAAAAGTTTTACAGAAAGTTGTTTTTGAGATCTCTTTCAGAAAATTTTACATAAATGTTTTGAGAGAAAAATTTTGAGACCTCTCTAGTAGTTTTGAGAAATTATTTTAGAAAATATTTTCTTTGGGATTTCTCTCCGAATTTATTTGAGAAGCTACTTGTTAGTTGTTTGTTTAGTGCATGCTTATAGCCTAAATTTATCTATTGATAAATTAGCATAGACTTCTCAAATATTTTGTGGATCCATAGTGACTTACTAAGCGTAAAGCTTATCAGTTTTCTTTCTTCGCATGTACAGATACTAAGGGTAAGGCCAAGGCCTTGGAAGATGATGAGGAAGTGGAACGCGTGTCAAGATGAGTTAACGGGAACGACCTTGGCGGCTTCTAGCTAGTTTTTATTTTACTCCAGTATTTCAGTGGTTAGAATAAAAGATTATTATTACTTTATTCTATTTGAGGATTGAAGTCTGAATAAATTCCCGGATCCAGGGGGTTATCACATTTGGTGGTGATAACTAGATTTTATTGAGTTTTATTTGGAGTTATATTTTAGTTATATTTGAGTTTTTATCAGGGTTATTTCTTAAACAAACGGTCGTTATATTGCAGTTTTTTTAAGTAGTAAGTTTATGTAGCGTTTCCTTTAACCCTGAGAGGGGCGTCACAAGAAAAGATACAAGCCATTATCAACATGGAGCCACCGCGCAATGTGAAAGAGGTGCAACGGCTGACAGGTCGCCTGGCGGCCCTAAGCCGTTTCCTCTCCAAGTCACCCGAAAGGTCACTCCCTTTTTTCCAAATCATGTGTAAAGCAAGCAACTTCAAGTGGACGACGGAATGCCAACAAGCATTTGAGGAACTGAAGTGATACCTCTCGTCCCCACCAGTGCTCTCTAAGCCAAAAGCCAGTGAAACCCTCTTCTTGTACTTAGGGGTGAGCACGTCGGTCATCAGCTTCGTGCTCATCCGCGAGGACGTAGGGGTGCAAAAAGCCATATTCTACATCAGTAAAACACTCCGGGAGGCCGAGCTCAGGTACTCCCCCATTGAGAAGACGGTGCTAGCCATCGTCCATACAGTGAAAAAGATGGGGCACTACTTCCAGGCCCACACCGTCCATGTACTGACCCAGCAGCCCCTCGGTGCATTCATGAGGAGCCCCACCAGTTCCTCAAGGATGGTGAAATGGGCGATCTTCCTCAGTCAGTTCCAGATTGAGATCAAGCTAAGGCCATCTATCAAAGGGCAGGCCTTGGCCGACTTCGTCACCGAATGCACAGCAAGGGAGACGACCGCCACTACCCCCGGGCAAGAGCCAGACGACACGTGGACTCTCTTCGCTGACGGCTCTTCGGCCGCAAAAGCATGCGGGGGTGGTGTCGTCCTCATTTCCCCCGAAGGATTCAGAACATACTACGCCATCCGTTTCAACTTCAGGGTGTCAAACAACGAAGCCGAGTATGAGGCCCTCCTCAGCGGCCTCAGACTCGCCACCGGCCTTAAAGCCAAACACATCAGAATCAAATGCGACTCCAAGCTGGTGGTGGGCCAGGTTGAGGGCTCGTACGAGGCCATGGAAGAGAGGACGAGACAATACCGGCATGCGGCCGAAGAGTTGCTGAAAGCGTTTGAAACCCACGAGATCACACAGATCCCTAGGGCCGAGAACGCCGAGGCCGACATCCTCTCCAAATTCAGCTCAGATACTCCAGAGCACATCTCCAAAATAGCTAAGGTTGAGGAGCTGAGCATGTCCAGCATCCATGCTAGCCACGTCTTATGCATCCAGCAGCGGCCGGGGGACTGGATCTCCGACATAATGACCTTCATCACAACGGGGGAACTACCCCAGGACGAGGAGAGAGCCAAGCTGGCCAAGCTCAGGGCTCCAACCTACACCATTGAGGATGACAAGCTCTACAAGCGATCCTACAACGGCACTCTCCTCCGATGCCTGCACCAGGACGAGGCCGAAGTGGCCATGGAGGAAGTTCACTGTGGTGTTTGCTCCTCACATCAGGGCCCTTTCAGCATGTCCAGGCGTCTCGTCGTCCAGAACTATTTCTGGCCGACGATGGCACATGATTGTGCAGATCTTGCCAGAAAATGCACCGCATGCCAGGTACTCCAGAAGGCCTCTGGTCGGCCAGCCGTCAACTACGCCCCGGTCAGCACTGCCATTCCATTTTCAAGGTGGGGGATTGACCTGGTCGGCCCATTACCCAGAGCTGCTGGCAACAACCGCTACATCATCGTCGCAGTCGACTACTTCACCAAGTGGGTCGAAGCGGAACCGTTGGCCAGCATCACAGGGGCGAGATGTCAGAAGTTCGTCCACAAGAACGTCATTACCCGCTTCGGCGTCCCCCAAGAGATCATATCCGACAATGGCACCCAGTTCGAAGCAACACCCTTCCATGAGCTCCTTCGAGAATGGGGAATAAAGCACCGTTTCTCCTATGTCGCCTATCCTCAGGGCAACGGGCAGGTTGAGAACGCCAACAGAACTATAATGGAGGGGCTGAAAAAGAAGCTCCAGGACATAGGAGGAAGTTGGGTCGACGAGCTCCCCAACATCCTATGGTGTTATCGTACTACGCCGAGGAGGGCAACAGGTGAAACACCTTTTGCCATATGCTATGGCTTTGAAGCAAAGGCACCCACAGAAGTCGCCATTCCCAGCCGACGGGTGGAGCAGTATGACCCTGAGGTCAACGAGGAGAACATGAAGATCGACCTCCACCTGGTCGAGGAGAGACGTCAACAAGCATTCATCTGGGCGGAGAACTACCGGCGTCAAGTGAAATCATACTATGACACCAAGGTACGTTCCCGGGAGTTCCAAGTGGGGGACTACGTCCTCCGCCGAAGGGAAGCAAGTCAGCCGACGGAAGGGGGCAAGCTAGCCTTGAAATATGAAGGTCCCTACATCGTCAGTGTCGTGGTAAAACCCGGCACCTACAAGCTTAAATGCCCAAATGGGACCAATGTACCACGAACGTGGAATGTACGCCATCTGGTGAAGTTTTATCAATAATCCAAAGAAGGTGCAGCCGGCGAAGCCCTCACCCCTTAACGGGTTATTGATTGAACACCACCCTCGGCCTTGAGCCACTTATGAATAAAAGTCATGTTCCTCTTGATTTTTTGAAATTTAAAGTAAAAAATTAACGGGTGCCCGCATCGGCCACCTTAGAGCGAAAGGCTCAGGTATGGCCGACGCAGCGCCTAGCATCAGCAGCCTTAGAGCGAAAGGGCTCAGGTACGCTCCATTGTATTTTGTATCAGCAGAAGGCTTAGGCCTGGCTGAGAGAGCACGTCGTATTGGCCCCTCAGAGCGAGACGCTCAGGCAGGGCCGACGATGTCCCCAGGACGAGGGGCCCGCAAACGACCCGCGTCTTGAAATGAGAAGTTCACCGCGTCGTCCACGCGCCAGATCGCAGGACGACAAGCCTGAAATCATGGCTGAGGTGACAAAATCCTCAAACTCGGGGTTAGGCAATGGCAGCCATTGGAAACCAACCAAAAGTCTAGCCCACGTCATAAATAGGCGACAGGACCCCCCCCCCCCCCCCCCCGAGACCATGGATGTTATAAACGAAGTCCAAACCGGCCGGAGGACTATCGACCCCCCTGGCCGAAGTCTGAAAGAAGGACACCCATTCCTCGCTCAAATGAGTAAAGATAAAGAAAATAAAAGAGGGACAGCCGAAGGACTGCGCAATTGCCGGCCTGAAGCGATATCCCCCCCCCCCCCCCCCCCCCAAAAAAAAAGAGGGAAAGCCGATGAGCCGCGCACTCGCCGGCCTCGAGCAGTGAAAAATAGAATCCCCAAAATTGCTCTAAATACATATCAGGCAAACATTACGTATTACTGACAAAAAAAAAAACTTGGACAAAGTCACTAAGGTCAACTCCTGGGGCCGAAAAGGGGAACCACATGACCGACATCAGATAACCCAAAGGGGACGTCGTCATCAGCCACTCACGAAGGAAGCAATCGCCCAAGTATGTTCAAACACTTAGAAAATTTTTCTAAGTACTTGGAGAAATCCCTGAGCACCATCCAAAATGGCCGATGACAGCAAAGGTCTAAGTCTACCCAGACACTTGGAACGATTCCCAACTTTTTAAGTGGGACACTCAGAGAAGTCCACAACAGTGTGACGTTAAGCGTCACAAAGACGAAGCAGATGTTCCCCCTCAGCCGAGCAAAGGACAGGTCCTCTCATCGGCTACAACTACAGGAATCAGGCATGAGTTCTTGTTTAAGCACTTGGAAAAATTACAAGTATAACAAAAGAAATGAGGAATGACACGAGACGAAGAATACACGGTGGCCGAAAAGAACACAGAACCGATGAGAACACCTCAGCGTGGGAAGCTATTCCACACTGGCCGTATTGGCCGACGAAGGAACTACTCAGTTAGACACTTGGAAAATTCTTCAAGTGTGACAGTTAGTTTAACACTTAGAAAATTTTCCAAGGTATGAACAAAAAAAGGGGGGGCGTAACGCCAAGACGTCGCGGATGCTCACTCATTTGAAGTCTTGGTACTTAGGAAAAAATCCTAAAGTTCCTGTTAAGTACAAGGGGTATTCCGCATAGACGAAGCGTACTCACCAAAGCTACCCACTTCGGCCGGAGCCAGGGAACAACCAAAAAACGACAGTTACCCGAGTCCCAATTTCGACACTTAGAAAAATTTCGGAAAACTTGAGAACAAAAGCAAAGAGAAAAACAAGACGACGAGGACACACAATAAAGCCGAAAACAATGGACATTTCATTCATATGGAAATTCATTACATCAGGGGGCTCGACGGCCATTACAAAAAAAAGAGGGGGCATTACAAACACTTGCCTTACTAAACTACGTAAGAAGTCAGCCGATCAACTCTCGGGGACGGTTTCATCGGCCACTCGCTCCGCATCGGCTTGCCCAGATACAATTCCGTTGCCATCCTCCGTCCTTGCACCTCCACTAGCCTCGGCTGCTGAAGAGACGGTGGTGTCGGCTAAGGCGTCATCATCGGACCAATCAGGCTCACCAATGGAGGAACTAAGTACCGGATCTTGCCTCTCAGACGGGGGGAGCTTCGCCTCGGCCTCCAGATCTTTCATCAACCTGGGGAGCTTCAGATTCTTCTTAGCCCATTTCTGGGTGAGTTTCAACTTCTTGAAAGCCCGAAACAGCCTCCTGTATATCAGCCGTTGCATCCTCTGCTGGCCCATGTCGTAGTAGACATCCATTTCACGAGCAAAGTATTCCTGGCCAGCAGGGCAGTTCTGACCCCAGTCTTCAAGCCGGTTCGCCACAACTTCATAGCACCAGGGCCGGCGGTCCTCGGCCTTCCAGCCTTCGGCCAGGAACCTCTCGATAGCACCATCAACGGCCTTCTCAGCGGCCCTCTCAGAGTCAGTCTGAGCCCTCGCGGCGTCCTCGGCCCGAATTAGGGCCTCATCACGGCTTCTCAGGGCCTCATCCCTGGCCCTCAAAGCATTGTCCCTATCGGCCGCCACCTGCCGGTAGGCCACATCGGCCTCATCAACACCCTTCTGCAGGGCCTTTACCTCCTCCCGGAGCCGATCTAGGCAGGCCATGGCCTCCTCGGCCGAAGCTGCCTTTTTCTCGGCTTCCTTCAGGCGGGTAATCTCTTGCTCTTGCCGCTTGTGGCTCACCATCAGCATAAGGGCACCCTGCAAAAAAAGAAAAAAGAAGAGTTAGGACGAAGCAACAACTCGTGACACAAAAAGATGTAAAGTACGAAGAACTTACTTGGACGATGAGGTCCATCCCGCCGTCATAGATCTTGACGGGACCTAGCTTCTTCAAGTAACCCGATCCTCGACCGGGACAGCTTGGGCCAGAACATCATGGCCGTTAACGGCGTCATTGAAGACGCCACCCTTCACGGGGTACTCAATCTCGAGTTTGTAGGTCACAAAGGCCAGCTCCTTGCCGACCCTCTATTTTACAGGGCTCCTGACCGACAGGCGGCGGTTGGGACAAGGCCGTCGACGAGGGGACCGAAACCGCATCAACAACGGTAACGGCATTTGAGCCCCCGACATCATCGTCCGGTATGGACAGACCACCGGCACCAGCATCTCCCAGAGGAGAAGCCCTCTTCGACTTCTTGGACTGCATGCCGGCCTCGGTAAGCTTCCTCTGGCCGTCATCCACTGGCCGTTTCTTCTTCGGCTGCGTAGGTGGTTTCTTCACTGCGTCAGAGCTCGGCTGGGCGCCACTCTCAGCGGCCATCTTTGCGGCCTCTTTTGCGGCCATCTCCTCCTTTGCCTTAGCTTTGGCTAGGGCCATGACGGATCTGCGATCCATAGTGAAGTCTGCACAACGTGAAAAACAGTTAGCAAAAACAAAAGTAAATATGGACGAAGACGCGAGGGAGGGTATTACCATCGGCGTCAGCAGGAACGCCCATACCCGGGCCATCGGCCTCCTCAAAGGTGGTGGTCATCTTCGGCCACAGCTCGGTGTCACTTTCCTTATCACCATAAACGAAGTACCGGAAGAAGCCGAGGGCGGTCAACTTATACTCCGTTATGTACTCTTTTACGCTCCTCGGCCCTCCTTTCATAAATGCAGCCACCTGAGCATCAAGATGCTGCTCCTCGGCACCTCATGGAGGTTGAATCTACCGTCATGGCTAATGGAGGGAAACTCAGTACCGCCCTCCCCCAAAGAAACAAAGACGAACTTACCCTTCCACCCATGAATGGACGTAGGAAGATCAGTAAAGGACCTCTTCTTCGGCAGCTGTTGGAGATTAGCATAACCGGCACAATTCTTGTGGCTCCCTCGGCCGATCTGGTACAGGTTCATGAATAGAGCTGTCGTCGGCCTAAAATCTAACTCATCACAGCGGAGGAGGAAACCGATGATGAGTGAGTAGCTGTTTGGGGTCAACAAAGCCGGAGGGAGACCCACCATATCCAGATACTCCGTAATAAACGGGTGGAGGGGAAACCTAAGTCCCTTTGCAAAACTCATGGGGTATACTCCAAAATACCCCGGAGGTGGATTCAACACATGATCTGTCGGCCTGTGCGCCCTAACCCTCCCATATGGACCCACGTACATCTGGGCCACCAGGTAATCGGCCGCGCTGCTCTCCGGCTTGATCAAATAAAGATTTGTAAGGTCTAGGTAGGAGTAACCTGGACCCCTCTTCGGCCGACGCCTTCTCGTTGGGGCTGCCCCCTTCACAGCAGAAATTGGCTTCGGGCAAGGAATTGCAGCCGATGTAGACGCTCCGTCCACAGCACGGGAAGCCACTACGTCCTCACCATCAGATGACGAGGCGGCCTCTTCGTCCTCACCTTCACTCCCCTCTCGCTCCCCTGATTTGAAGGAGCTCAGCTCCTCTATCTCCTCATAGCACTCCTCTACTACCCGGTAATCAAGGGATTTAGCAGAGGGCTCATCATCATATGGGTAGTACTCGTCGTCCAAGGGCTTCATCATAACAACTAACTAAAGCCTAAGGGTTTTTACTTTGGATCTAAGGGTGTTTCTCCACTAACAGCGGATCAAAAGCTAAAATAAGCAAAGTACACAAGTAATTTGGGAAAAGTTCGACGAACTGACCTTTGAAGTTTTGAAGAACGGAAGAACACACGGAAAGGCTCTCTCTCTCTAGAAAATTTGGCAGCACTTCGCTATCTCAGGAATGCAATGAGGAACCTCTTCGGAGGGGGGGTATTTATAGACCTCCCCCCAACGGTCACTACACGTGGCAACCTTCCATTGGCCACATGAACGGCCACCACCCGAGGGATCAGCGAAAGATATATTTGACATATTAGTACTGTCATTGTTATTAAATAAATTGACTCCCTCCGTTCGAAATTGTTAGTCTAAAATTTTGTTTTCGAGGATGCCAAATTGATGGTAACATTTCTTTTTATATTTCTTGTGATATAAAATGTCTATTTTTTATAATGCCAGTACATGTATCACTTTGGTATGAACATTGAATAACCTAACATGCCCTGAAGTTAACACTCATGATGTGTTCAAGAACTTGTTAAACGCTAACAAGGCGATTGAGGGGTGGCTAGTGCCTAGGCATCGACTAAGCCATTATTTTGACCGACTAACCAATTGGTCTTGCACAGTTATCTGACACCTAGCGATTAATTGGATTAACTAAGCCGATTTTTAAAAGAATGCATCCAAGTAAACCTCTAGTGGTCCTCCAGGGAGTTTGAAGTTTGAACAATTGACACGAAAAGACTTTTCTTCGTGAATTCAAATTGATTGAACAACCCCAAATGATTTATAAAATTTTATTTTATTTTTACATTTCAGGTAACTCAATTATCTTAAACAGGTACAAGGTTGGTTGGGTACGGTGTATATTTAACAGTACATTCTAACACTCCATCCGTTCTTTATTATTTGTCTCGCTCTCCATTTTGGTCTATTTTTTATTATTTGTCCTCCTTTCCATTTAAGGCAAGTTTTTATTGTAAATATACCAATATACCCTTCCATCTTTTACCCTCATTTATTATCCCTACACCTAAACTCATTTAATTCTCCCCACCCACCACCTTAATTACACCCCACCGCCTAACCTTCTCATCCAACGCCTAACATTATCTTCGTATCATCACCCTCAACCTTTCAACTTCTACCCCCTCCTTCCTTTGCTCTCTTCTCGCACTACCATTGTAGGCCAGATGGATCTCCCATCTGAGCAGATTAGTCCTTATCCATATGTCCTTCAAACACCGGATCTACTTTGCGATTCCGACGTCTGTATGCCTGATTCGCCGGTCCAACTTTCCGATTCTGACCCATGTCTGCCTGAAACGTCAGTCCAACATTTGGATGGTGGCATGCGTGTTCCAGATCTGGAGAAGGCTGAAGCCGCGAACATGGCACATCTACAATGGGTCGAGGCCATGCTGAAACTAATACTGCCGCAAAAGAAGGTTGGATCTGATTCCGAAAAAGGCTGGGATGAACTGTGGAAGCGTTGACGGTATTTGAGTGCTGATAGTGCACATGCAGTTGCCGATAAGTCATCTGTTCTCTGTTTTCTTTTGTACTGTGCGCAATTATGTACTCCCATGTACTGAAGTGTCTACTTTGAATCAACATTGACCAAAATGGTTTGGCAATACTGTGTAATGTGTATGTTTCCTTTGATGCCTTTTAATGTGAGAAATCATTGTTGTGTCTCTGGTTTCAGTGTATGCTCTCTGATTTCTATGATAACAAACCTATTGTAAAATGATTGTTGTATCTCTGATTTCACTGTATGCTCTATGATTTCTATGATAAGAATTTTGTTTTGAGAATTCATAGTTGTGTCTTTAATTTCAGTGTATGCTCTCTCATTTTATGATAACATTCTTTTTTGATAAATCATTGATGTGTATCTGATTTCAGAAGTATGCTCTCTGATTTTTATGATAACATACTGAATTGATAAATCATTGTTGTGTCTCTGGTTTCAGTGTATGCTCTCTGATTTCTATAATAGCAAACCTATTGTAAAATGATTTTTGTATCTCTGATTTCACTGTATGCTCTATGATTTCTATGATAAGAATTTTGTTTTGAGAATTCATAGTTGTGTCTCTAATTTCAGTGTATGCTCTCTCATTTTATGATAACATTCTTTTCTGAGAAATCATTGTTGTGTATCTGAATTCATTGTATGCTCTCTCATTTCTATGAGAGAGCAATCACAATTTCAATGATGATATACAGTATGGAGTATATCTGAGAAATACAACAAGGAAGTCAAATGATGAATACACAAATGCATTTCATTAACTTGTAATGGGCAAAAGCATGAAGTTTACATTGCATTGTACATTAACTGAAATGGGCAAAACACAAAACTTTGTAGTTCATTCACTACATGAGTTAACTGACATTGCAATTGCATATCATCGAGTATAATAACTTACATAACTAGGGTGGAGATTAGATCTATTCAACATGTGGGGGGGGGGGGGGGGGGGGGTCATTGTGTCATTGTCCCCCAATGCAGCATTTAGATGACCAATTGTTTCTGAAATCAATTCATCATTAACTTCCAAATTAATTGGTAGTGTCCCCTGTTTTCCAATCTTTGTTTTCCCATGCGAGGGCTTTTGTAGTTGTTGCCTCCCTTGCATTTCAAAATCTCAACCATGACACATTGTAGTTGAAGCCAATTGTGATTTATCTTGTGTGCTCCAAATTCTGCATATGCTTCTTGTACTGTTGTAACCAATTGTTGGATTGTCTGTGGACTTTTCTGGTACCGAAGTGTTTGTATTGCCCTAAAAACCCCAGATCTAAGATATTTAGATCAGGGGAATTAGGTGGCTGACATACCAATTGCATATCCCACCCATCCATTCTAGCAGCAACCTTAAAAGCTTCATCATTCATACCAATGTGAGGCTTTGCATTGTCTTGTTGTATCCATACAGTTTTACATGCATTAGGGGGGCATTTTTCTTTGATAGATGGAATGAAAACTGTAAGAAATGCATTTCTGATGACTTCCTTTGTGAAGGATGTGGTTGCCTTAATTTCTAGTGTGCCTGCAACTCTGTTTTTGCTCTTTCTCTTTGCTGCCACTGATTCTGTGAAAGGGAATATTCCAATTTTTCCATCCCATATAATTGATCCATCATCATGGATCCATGGTCTAGCAATGGCTGCCAGAAACATGACCTTGTTGATAAATCTTTTACTTTGACAGCTCTATGAGGATCCTCCTCTGAGGGTAAAAGATAATATCATTGAGTAACTTGGCTCATAAAGAACCACTTCTCATCCACATGTATGACATTGAACATTTTTGTAAACTGTGGAGGTTGAGTGATGCTTCTTGGAATAATGTGACACATTGACCACTTTAATCTCTCCAGTTTATTCTTGTCGTTCAAAGTAGGCTTTATTGCATTTGTATGTGATCTTATTATACCACTACTTAGTAACTTATGGACTTTGGAAACACTGACCCCTGGAGAAGCTGCCAAGCTTCTTAGGGTGGTCCTGTTGCTTTTTGGAATGGCACGTATGTGTTCAATGTCAATAGGTATCATTTTCCTGCCACAGTTCCCTTTCCTTTTACCATCTGTGTTTATCTCCAAACCTTCTTCTACTTGTTTTTTTGTTGTTGCCCAGATTCTACCAACTGTCTTGCTGCAAACATTGTAAGTACTGCCAACTTCTTCAATTACTCCTCCCTTGCAAGTCAACATTTTTGTGGCACAACACTGATTTGACTTTGATAACAAATCTTCTGCTACTATCCTTCTTTTTGTCTTTGTGATTGATATACATGGTTTTGCAGGTACATTACCTTCTGTGTTTGGTTATGTGTTCTCATCAAATGGGGTGTCATCTTCAGAATCTGCAGCACCTTCATCTGCTTCAGCTCGAATCCCTATCTCAATAAACATCATCTCTTCTGAAGGAATACAATCATAACCTGCTCCACTCATCTCAAGAACAGATCTGCTAGAAAAAAGGTGCGGACAAGGCTGCAGTGACTTTGTTCTTTTTGTTGGGGAAGATGTGCAGAAAAGTTGTGTGTATTGTTGTTTTGCTATTTTTGGATACAAGTGTAAAAAAAGATAGCCTTTTGTATTTATAGTGGGTGCAGTAGGGCATGATTTGGAGGGAAATGTTCTTTTCCACATGTTTTGAGCGACAATAGGAAATGGATTAGTGGCCCTCAGATTTGTACGCAACACTCATTTGATTTGTACGAATGAGTGTGTTGAAACACTCTCTTTCCCTTGCTTTTTTAATCTTTTTCTCTTTCCTTTCCTCCTCCACACATTTAACTACGTCTATTAATCTATTCTCTTCCCTACTTTTCCGTTTAATCACATCCCACTACACTTATTTTTTCTTATACACACACACACACACATATATATATATATATATATATATATATATATATATATATATATATATATATATATATATATAATCCTCCATAGGAATTATAACGAGGGATCTTGAAGATCATATTGTCTTCCAGTCTTCCTTGTTAGTTATGCCAATTGACAAGCTGTTATATTTGTTTCTCGGCCTCTAACAATGAGTAATATAAAGTCAAAGATAAGTTATTGTATTTTAAGATCGTCTTCCTCAAGTTTTTTTGAATATACACCGCCACATAGGAACAGGGAAAAAGAAATATTTTGTACGTAGTAAGATAAGTTACTGTATTTGCACATCACTTCTATATAAATATATAATATTTGTACTTTTTATACGGATAAGATTTTTTCCCTGTCCTATGTTGTGTCAACTTGTTAATTGTGAAAAAAGAACATTTGATCTTTACATGAATGTGCTTATTTTAGGGATACAAGTATTGAGATGTTTAGAAATAGAAATTATTTATGAAAAAATATTATTTGTATGTAGAAGATTAAGAGTAATTTTGGTAATTTCTTTCGTAGTAGTTCTTAAATAGTACTGTACTTTAGAGTGTAACTTTTTTTTAATGAATTTTGGTAGTTTTGGGTTTATATTCTGGTATTTAGAGTGTATTTTTGGTGATTTTGACTTTATATCATTCATTTTTAACACTTTTCTTATTAATAATATTTTAGTAAATATTCCCCAATATTTTATAAGAATTTTGCTACCACATGCGGCGTTATTCCCGAAATGATTGGATACACCGTCATGTAACTTACTAGCTCCAGCAATCCTAAACTCGAAACCAAGCTCCGTCGTGCCGGAGTCTAGAACAGCCAAGAGTACGCAATGTCGCAGCCTCTTCAGCACTTCCTCTTTTCACCGCCCTCCTTGCCAGAAATCGGAATTCCATGGCCGCAGCAAGCCCCTCGCTTTGCCTGAGACCTTCCCTTTTCTATTATGTGCCCCTCCAAGACTCCTGAGCTGGTTCCGCCACTGACTTTATGTGGGGCGTGTTTCGGAAAATAAAGAAAATTAATTAAAATAAATTAATTAAATAAAATGACTAAAGAAAAACAGGAAAGGAGATGAAGCAGAATTAGTCAAAGCTCGTGCTACGCACGATTTCCTTAAAATGTATTTGTTGCCTCCCACGGTGCTAGGAGCGTTGCAACAATCGTTTCCCAGGATACGATGACTACGAACTAATGTTTGAGCACACAAACAAGAGTTCCAGCGAACGAGAACCAAGTATGAACACAGAAGGAAGTTTACTGAGTAGCTTTAGGTGTTTTTTAGCTCAAGAAATTCGTGAGAAATGTATTGTGCGTTGTGTCAAACCGTGTGTTTGTTGCAAAGCACCTGCCAGCTATTTATAGGAGGATTTGTTGTGTGTTAAATGGGGTGTTAATGGACCTGAACGTTGGATTTAACGGTGCGCGGTCAGAATACCTCCACCAGAGTTGGAGCAAATCTGATCCTGGGAAAAAATAAAACGTTACGGGAAGAAACAAAAATTAGACCGTATCTTTGAATGATAGGTTTTCGGACGACCAAATGATGGATAGTCTACCTGGGGGTATATATCCAAAGGGTTATTGCGGGGAATAACTTAGAGAGAAGTCAGAGCAAGTAAATGTAGAGAGAGAGAGAGTGTATTATAAATGCGGGGCGTTTTCAGCGTGGTTACAAATGAGGAAATGGGGTGCTATTTATAGTAGCAATAAATGCCGGACAGGGACACGTGTCGATCGCTCATTGGCCGAGGGGTCACCTCAACTGGTTGGCGCTGGCAGCCGCATGTGGCCGCATTTAATGCGGCTGTTGGATGGGACGTCTGTGCAGGGTACGGTGATCTGTACGCATGTGAGGCGGATATCTTGTCGAGTGAGATGCCTTCGGCTATAGAGCAGTAGCCGAGGGCTCCTCCAACCGATGGCACCCCTGGTGCCGAGGGCTCATAGTGCCGAGGGCTACTGTTTTCGCCGTTTTCTCCCAGTTTCTTAATTTGCTTGAGAAACCCGTTCTGTGAGAATTTAGAGCCTTCGGCCAGGGGGCCGAAGGCACCCCTGGCGCGTAGTGCGGGCTGCTTGGTACTCTGGGCGCTGTGATTTGGGCCTGTTGGGCCTTCTGGGCCTTCGCTGGAGTAGTAGGAGTCTGTGGGCCGGGGGTTCCCGGGCCATATACTCCATCAGGAGTCCCTCACTCCTTTTGCCGAAAGGTACTTGAGGGAAAAGGAGTAATTTGTGCTTGCCCTTTGACGTTGTACTGTCGTAACCTCTGAAGTTGGTGAGGAGTTGTTGCTTTTATGTCCCTGCCGAAGGCAGTCCCTCAGTTACCCACATGTTGGGACTTGAGGGCTTGCTTTGTCGTTTGTTGGAAT